TCTCTTATCGCGTTCCCGGGAGTGCCCCTGGTGTTGTAAACGGACCCAGAGCTTGTTCATTTCGATAAAATTAGTAATAATAAAGGATATAGAATCCTGAAAATTTCCTTCCGGGCTAAAGATAGTTAGTAATTTGGTACGTAGCTATGGAGGCTTTCTGTGAGTTCTAACCCTTCACTCGTCCCTGTGGGAAGAGAATCACGTGATTGTCCGGATAGGTAATATCTCAAGAAAAGCCCTCTGTTCATGTCAGAAAAATCCGCAAGATGACCAAAATCGATATCTGAGCTCGTACCGGATAGGGTGCTGTACGCCGCGGCTCATTTCCATCATATCCTTCATTATCTCCTTTACCGGCGCATCCTCAATCGACATGTATACTCTATGGAGTTTTTAGCTTTATTAAACAGTAATGATTTAGCTATAATCACTTACGTTCCGACGGTAATCATAAGATACAAACGTGGAACAATATTTCCTATGCGTTAAAACATTAGAAATCTGAGATGACCTTCCAGTGTCAAGCGAAAACCAACCGGCATACTGTACAAGCTCATATAGATCTGCCAGATGATTCACAGGGTGACTCTCTTTTAGGTAAACTGAAAGATGTCTCAAAGCATCAAAGACAGCCATATAGAGCTCGTAATATTGTTTCGGTCCCAGGGAGCTAGTCCTCAATTCGGAAACTAACGTTGAGCTAATCGCAACCCCATTCACACTATCAGCGCTTTCAATATCTCATGAGATGAGTTTCCAATTGCGCACCTGCATTTAAGGGCATCCATAAGCTTCCCCGGAGTTTCGAGGCATTTGCGCATCAGGGCCGTTTGCTGCCGCACGACCACGAGAGCATCTTGAAGAAGGCCCGCTTGATCCTCCATTAGTAGACCGTGCGAGAAAGGGGTGGGAGGGGTGAGATGCGGGGGATTGATGAGAGGTCGAGGCGAGGTTTCAGTTTGGAAGAGTAGATGGTCGCTAATCGATGGAAGGACAGGTGTGATGGGTGACGGATGGGGAGTTGGTTGAATATGTCTGTGTTAGGAGGGTCGCAACACACAAACCGCAGTAGCGATTTTAGAACAAGACAGCGATGACGCCTCAGTGGATCGGCAGGGCAACCAACCCGACCCTTCACAACTTATCACTCTAACCACGTTGCCGTGAGGTCCTGACAGACGAGCTTGCTTTTTTAAACTGAACAGCTCTTCATTTCCTTGAATTTGAAGCGACACCGCGTCCATATTGATCTCCCAACAATACACTCCTACTATGCACCGTGTACAATTGCAAGCTCTATCAGAAAATGTGTTCCGCCACACGAAAAGCATTGGTTTTAGGAATGTTAAGATCACGTGTCTTTCAATATTGAATACTTTTTGAAGGTGTAGTACAGTATCTGGTAAAATTATTGCGAAAGTGGGTTCTCCGTGACCCGATAGTCCTATTGGCCCTTAAAAGGTTTTTTGCTGCGAGCACAGACCAACAAATCCACTCCTTTAGCTCTGACTTTTGCAATAATTCTACCGGATACTGTATGGCTGGTGGGTAGGTGTGTAAACTTCGGCGTTTGCAGCCAATCAATCTATAGGAATTGGGAGATCTACCCCCATAATGGTACTAGCGCCTAGCCTGACGGTGGAATTTTCTCTAATTCCCATACAAAAAAAGTTCCTCTGAAGTTGACACACCCACCCCCTATGCCTTCTCGCGCCATACATGTAGGTTATTTTTACACCCCTACTCGCATGTCAATTATGTATTTGCCCAACCAGCAAAACACACCAAAAATCGAGGTTTTCAACAACTCATAAAAAGCCCCACACCTAAACCAAAATATCAACGACCAAGTATAGTATAATTTTGATAAAGGAGGTCCATGCTTCAAATTCTTGGCCCAATTGGGGTACTGGTAAAGGTGCCATAAAAGGACCCGTTTAGACACATTTCACCTTCAGGGCTTGTTCTTTGTAGATATAGCCTAAAAGTGGCCTGTAGAGTCTTTCAGGTGTCTAGATAGAAGACACATAATTTCAGGGGAGATGGGAAAGTTCTCTGGATTCTGTGTGTGTTTTGCTGGTTGCGCAAATACATACTTGATATGCGAGTACATGTAGTATCAAAACGCCACATCATAGAGTTATAGATTACAAGTACTCGTTTACCACGAAAAGAACCAGAAAATGCCAGTGACGGAAACAGGGATAGTTTGTATGAGAGATCGCCGCCACTCCATACAAATAATCTTTGCCCTGAGAAACTGGTTCTTTTCGTGGTAAACGAGTATGTTTCTTTTCTTTTTCTTTTCCTCTTTAGAAATGCAAGTGTATAAACTGGCATAGAGTTTACGAGTGATCAGCTGTGATCATTCGACCCGTACCACAGGCAATCTAAGATAGTGGCAATCAGTATTTAAATGGAGAAATTCTTAACGCTATGTACATTGAGTTTTTCGATATATAATTTGCCCCTTAACGGTGGGGACAAATGATAATATTCGGCTTTGGATGCGGCACTAGATCTAGGATTATGCCCTTGGGCAGAATGGCAGCCTTCTAGCATCCGATCCACTGGTTATGTATAGTAGGCAACCAGTTTGATTCGGGAATTGGACCCATCTGAGCTTGGCCACAGGAGTAGTTGGCCCTGATTCTCCACTCTAGCTCCTCAAGGAAAGCATATATCTCATAGTGTGTCTAAGACTATCCGATCCCCTCTTGACTCTCATGCAATCAATCACGCGAAAGATAGCCCCAGATATAGCCGCCTTATATGTGTTGAAATCTTTCTAAGATTATGAGTGGTGTGTTGTACTACAAGGCGATCGTAGTCAACGCATCGTATGCAGTCCTGCATTATCGTACTTCCTCTTTCCCTCTTATGGTGATAACATTCCCAATCCCTTCATAACTATCGTTTCCTAAGCCTTGGTGCTTCCAGGTCTGACCAATGTTTTCCTTAGGCACATGCATGTGGGCACATAGCGAGTTCACAAGTTTCAAGAGCAGATACGATATATATCTTTAATAAGCCAGCCCAGTGAAAGCTAGGCAGTCTTGAATTTCTCAACATGTATGCGGGCTCGAGCGCCATGCATTGGTGTCCTGAATGCGTGCTGGCTAGTTTGACTTATCTCGTGGTTTTTCCGGGTAGATTTGGTATTTGGTTTTTCCAGGCTTTGAACGATTCCGTTTAAATAGGTGATAGGTTAACGGCGGTAGCTGAATAGTTATGGTCGTATTTAAAGTAGTGTAAGGTCCAAGTGATATATGTTGTGAATACTAAGTTTGATGGCCTTCTGCCCCTCTTTTCGGCGGGAAAATCGGAGAGAAAAGGTGATTTTTATGAGCCTGGTATGTGATTTCATTCCATGGTCCAGGGCACGCGTGGCCAACAGCAAGAACGTTCAACTCAGTCAACTCAGTTATGACCAGGAGGGAGGGAAAAGAATGGAATAGAAGATAAACATGCCGACAGCGGCAGTTAGGGATAGATAAAGGCTATCGCCAATACTTCTGGCCCACTATCTGCAAGGCAACCTCAATAAATAATTGGGCATGCGGGTGGGAGAGGGGGGTATTATGTTTCCATGTTTATGTTTGTTGGATTGACGCGCATCTCGGTTCTGTGGCTTGCAACAGGGGACAGCGGTTGGTCAGATGAGGGATTATCTTCGACATTTCTTCGCGGATCGACGAAGAAGGCTGAGATAAAGAGTTACACCTGGATGTTGAAAGAGAGTACTCGCGTGTAGGGAAAGAACCAGAAAATGCAAATCCGTATTTTGTATGGCAGATCAGCGCCACTCCATACAAATAATCCCTGCTTCGTCACTTGCATTTTCTGGTTCTTTATGCTGTACGCGAGTAGATAGACCCGAGTGAGGGAAGCACATTATAAATCAACCAAGGACGGCATTTTAAATCCAGTACAGTAGGGAGATGGTCGTATATATACTTTGTATCTTTGCTACAGGTTTGTACCTACATGTAGGCTTTGGAATGTTAATTCAACCTTGATCCCTCCCTCACGCAGGCTGCAAGTGGATCTGAATATCTTACTTTCGGACCGTGGTAACTGCTTCTGTATCTGCAACATCAAACCGCTATTGTGACTGAGAACATGGGGTAGATTTTGTTGTCAATAAATGGAACCAGTCATAACAATCTATGGCCAACCTTAGTCACCGGGACAATTGGTAGTTTTGGCTCGTGATCTATGTATGCACTGTATTTGGAGCTCGCGATACCAGTTCTCAACCTTCGATGTCCAGCATTAAGAAGATAGAGCAGGTACATGTAGTGACTACATTTTGGTCCTAGAGGCCAAGGCACGAGCCATTTAAAGAGAAGCGGCCGTCTCTCGACGCCTTCCCCCTTTAGCCTGTTCCTCGGGGGGAAGAGCCACAGAAGAGCCAGTGCTTTCCCATAGAGCTGTTGTGCTCAGTTTGCGTCGTGTTGCGTTACTTGCAAGTTGCTGCATGTGAGTGCGTGCCTGCTCGCCTCGCCCCGCCTCGTAGTGTACGTATGTGCATGTATGTCTATTCCTCGCCTCATCTCTTTGTCCATAGGAAAAATAAATTAAAAAGGCGTTCCAAATTCCGCAAGGAGTGTAGTGGGCACCCCCTCTCCAAGACATCGTTTATTTGTAGTAAATCAGGCACCAGTCATCAAGAGTAAGAGAAGTGAAAACTGTGGAGTACCTGGCGACCTACATACAATATCTAGCTGTGGTATATAAGTGTTCCCGAGTCCCGACCCGTTCGTCAGCCCCATCCGTTTGCCTCCTCTTGAGTTCGCGTCTCTCCTCTCTGGCTGCCTGTTTCTCTGGCTGCTGTGGTCGCCGTCGATCTCATCACATCAATCATCATTGTCGCTCCCTCCCCCCCAAAAAACACACAGACACTCACGCATCACACATCCCTCCACTTCACAACCATCCATTGACATCACCGATAAACATCAACTCCCCAATATCAAAACCAGTCTGCTGTAATCATCATGGCTGAATATTCGGGAACTCGCCTCTACTTGGGCAATCTTCACAAAGATGGTATGCTACTCTCGCTCTCTTGTCTCCTTCACTTTTGTTCGTTTCGTTTCACCCAATGACATCTTTGTCGTCGCTTTGACCGCCCGCCACTCATGATGATGTCTTTCGCGCGAACTTTGTTCGGCCTAAACCCTCTTGATCATCGCTCTCCGCTAACAAAATAACAGCTAGGAAACAAGAGGTTGAAGATTTCTTCAAGGAACATGGCAGTGGAAACATCGTTGAGGTTAAACTCATGAATGGCTTCGGCTTCATTCAGTACGATAACGAGGCTGACGCGAAGGATGTGGTTCCTGGTGCGTATTCACCTCTTCCTTTCTCTATTATCACATCATTTTATCGGAAATTTCTATCGCCTTGGCTAGATTTCCATTTAACAAGCTAACTTTTTCTCTCTTGAATCTATAGCCTACCATGGGCGCGACTTCAAGGGCCAAACTCTTACTGTACAGTTTGCCCGTGGTAATCGTCATCAACCTCGCCATGAATATACTGGTGGAGCGGATCGCAGCTTCCCACGCCCTAGGCGCACTGCTTTCAGAATGAATGTTACTGGCCTTCAACCCGATACGAGCTGGCAGGTGGGCGCACTCCTCATTCCTGCTGCAACATAGGCTTTCGTGACTCCGATTCAAGTCTTTTTACACCCACCCCTCTGTCCATATTTTTATCCTTTGCCAATCCTGGCTAGAAAACATTCCCTGGTCCCGATGGAATTTGCTCCGTGGCCTCTATATTGCCTGCTTTATCCCAGGATTTGGGCGTCCCAATTTTTGGAGAAAAATAACTTCCTATTATTATGGCTTGGACTGTCGTATCGATCTTTATGTATCCCAATGAGCCAGGAACCCATTTACCCCCGACATTACTTGCCAGATCTTTGTCCAGGAAAATATTTTACATGCGCGTCTGCTTTTACTGGAGGAGCCAGAGGCCCGCAAGAGTCTTGTTTCGGATTTCAACTCATACGAACGTTCTCTTCTACCTAGGATCTCAAAGACTTCGCACGCAGGTCCAATGTCGACGTTGTATTCTCCGAGGTCAGTCGTGACCGTGATGGCCGTGGGTAAGTTAACCTTTCGCTCTTCCCTATCGAATTAATAGATGGTTTGCTTATGATGTTATAGAATGGTCGAATTTGAGACCTACGAAGACCTCAAAAGAGCTGTCAGTTCTCTCGATGGCACTGACTTCAAGGGCGCACATGTGAACTGTGTCGCCGATGTATTTCCCACCCTCCTTATTTCAGCTAAAAGATTTTGTGCTGACTTAAACTAGCCGGACCATGACGCACCACCACGCGGCGGTCATGGACCTCCTCGTCGTTCTGTCTCTCCCCGGGCCTACGGAGGCCGCCGCTATTCTCCAGGCCCCGGTGGCCGTTACCACTCCCCACCCCGTCATGGGCGTCGTTACGATTCACCTCCATCTCGTTACCGTGAGCGTTCCCCCGCTCCTCGTGGAGGTGGTGGAGGTCGCGAACCATACTATGGTGGTGGTGGCGGCCGTGACAGGTCCCCCCCGCCTAGGCGCGCACCTCCAGCGGCCGACGAATACCCACCCCCACGCGGTGGAGGATACGGAGGCCGTGATGACTACCCGCCCCCCAGGCGCTACGATGACGACACATATGCCGGAGGTGCCAATGGAGGAGGAGGTGGAGGTGGCAGAAGGCATTATGATGAACCCCACAGAGGGCGTCCGGTGAGTCCTCCTTATAGAGGCAGGAGTCCACCACGAGGGCCACCACCGAGGGGTTATGATGAGTACGAAAGACGTCGTTTTTAGGTTGGTAGTTTGCTGCGCTATTTGTTGCTAATGGATTTGGTGTTGCGATTCTAAGACTAGCTAGCTGACCAGGTTACACTTCGACAAAGGGAGGAGGGGTTGATGGGTGGGAGAGGGATGAAAAAAAGGAGTATGATTAATGTTTCTTCCTTAGTGGGGCTCTACTTTATCTATTCTTCCTGCCTAGGTTGGTGCGGTTTCCTTCAATAGTTAACAAACAAATAAAACGGGTTCTGGGGTAAAACATGTCGGAAATAAAGAAAATTGCGAAAGAAGTTAACGGGCGTGTGCGTCGAATGAAGCTTGTCAAATCAATACTTCCTATGCCACTATCCCTTGGACGGATGAAAGTTGTCAAATTCGCGACATGGGCCGTGCACCACTTAGTAAGGGAATTATCTTGCTTTTTACGGTTGGAAACAACAACAGAACCAATCAAGAATTTCCAACAATTGCTATATTGGGCTAGTGATAGCTGAAAGAGTGTGGTCGCGAATTTGATAACTTTCATCCGTCCAAGGGATAATCTTATGTTTTTTTTTGTTCCTTTTGCGGCTAACCTTGCTTGGTGGATGAGAGGATGAGAAAGGATTGGCTGGCAGATTTAGGTCTCGATGGATGTTTGCTGGCAATTTCCCTTGTTTTTCCTATCTCTACACATGAATTTGAGTATGGAAAGAATCAAAGTTGGTTGAAAAAATTCTGTGAGCGTGTCAACGTGACTTCTCCCTGTGTTGCACGAGTGATCCCGTATGACGCCGTTGCGAGTGAGCTAGTCACTAAATAGGCACTGTATCCTTTTCGACGTCATTGGATTGCTGAATGAAATGCAGTGCACTGCAAGCCATCAATCGTCTCTAAATAAAAGTAACAGCTACATGTATGTAGAGTATCTCGGTCTATTATTTCGCCCCCAAGCATCCAAGCCTCGGTTCATTAACTTCCACTTCCATAAATATCCACATCCTTCAGCTGGCGTCGCACTCGGCCATTTTGAAATCTCATTCAAAAGGAAGGAAGAGGGTGAGTGAGAAATGGTGTTTAAAAGGAGTAAGCGCACCGAAAGCCGTGCAGTACCGACATAATAGAGGGTTGAAAGGGTGTTGCATGTCAAAACTCGCGTACATACATGTTGAAGGAAACGAGGACCAAAATAAACTTTTGATGAGTGATCGACTTGCGCAACCCGGGGGCCCTTTCCAATGAAAGTAACACATCCCTTCAACCATCGCCCCCATGTTACTGATTTAACCTAAGCCCAACTATCATACATCCCCTCCCCTATTCTCTCATCACTTTCAATCTCATTGATGGATTACCAGCCGAACCGAACCGAACTAGGAGAACTTTCCTCTGCAGTAACGGATTCTGTTCAAGTAACTACTAAACTTCTCACATTTTCTTGTTTGAGTAGAACCCCTCCCCAGCCCCTACCGATTTTCCACCTGATCCAACCAGCCAGTAAACCCGGTCCCACGCCAATATCAAAAGAATAAATTTTTCCCGGTCTAAAAAAACCACCCAATCCAAATGAGCAAAGAAAACGAAGAAGAAAACGAATGCTAGTAAAACAGAAATAACAGTAGCAGCAACAGAAGAGAAAAGCAAAACAGCCCTTTCACAAATCCACCCACTCCCAAGATAATCCTAAGCAATTAGAGAGGACGGAGACTAGGAAAAAGTACAAAACAATCAGATCGCTGAAAATATCAGATTAATAACTCGAAAACTCAGAGTAAAGAAAGACCTGGGGAAACCACCCGAATTAAGAAAAAGAAAAAAAAGGAAAAGGGAGGAAGAATTTAGGCTTCCTTCACACGAGCTTGGAGAACAGATGCAATAGACAACTGTTGAATATAGGAAACTAACGAAGAAATAAAAACAGAGTATGTGAGGCGAAGATGAAACCTATTATGGTACACCAGGCTGGATTTTGAGGCCCCTCATTCCAAGCTCTCGGCGATAATTCGTAAAATGGCGTGTTCGTAGGATTTCATTCTGGTTCGGATGCCTGTAAACCACTACTTCCTCCAACTTCCCTTCGTTGATAACAAAAAATCGATTGGTCGACTAAATCCGGAATGGTGCCCATTTGCCGTATCGTAGTATCGTTTCATGGATTTTCTTCATCCCCGTCCCTCGTTCCATCGGTACTCATGTGCATTTACAAGATGGTGCAGCACCCGCCACCACGCTCCTTCTCGAAAGTTAACAATGCTGCCCTGGTGGCAGCCTCAAAAACATCGTCCACGCCCTCCCCAGTCAAGCTGCTGCACTCTAGGTATTTCCTTGCGCCGACCTGTTTGGCGATGGTCTCGGCGTAACTGGTTTGCACGAAACGCATTGACTTCTTGCGCATTTCCTCCTGAGCATTGGCATCTTCGCGGAGGTCCTTCTTAAGCCCAACAAGTATTTTGGGAACGCCAGGACAGCGTTCATGGGCTTCCTCGATCCACTGCATAGGTTTTCTTTTAGTAAGTCTACCAAAAAGTACTAACAGGCCATGATGAAATTTACTTTATTGGCAACGTTATCGAGCGAATCGGGTGTATCAACAGCATATCCAATTAGAATGACATGGGCTTTGGCGTAAGCTAGTGGTCGCAGTCTCTGAATTTTGAGTTTTAGCAGAATCCTTCAAAGTCTCGGACTATTAAAGGAACAAAGAAACAGGATAAATTACCTCATAATCTTCTTGACCGGCTGTATCCCATAATGCCAGCTGAACAGATTTCCCATCGACCTGTTGATTATGTTAGCAGATAAATGAGAGTATCCAAGGCGCCAAACATACTCTACAATCTGTAACATAGTTCTCAAAAACAGTGGGTACCTATATTTGATGGTTAGAGAATATCTAGTTGACGCTAACGCTCAAGGCTCATATAGAATTAACTCACGTAATGCTAAACAGGAACGTCAGTACAAAAAATCTTCATTTTGGCAAAGCAGACTAGGAGCAATATAGCGCCATTTATTTGAAAGCAATTCTAGAGGAACCTTTGACATACCGTAGGAAAGTATCCCAAAGTAAACACACTGAGTAAACTCGTCTTTCCACATGCGCCGTCGCCGATGATCACCAACTTCCTGTACCAAAAGAATTCAATGTTAGCTAAAACTATAAAAAGCTTTGCGGACATCTCCGACGACCGGGAGATGAGCTGAGATCGAAGATTTCAATCCAAATTGTCTAGGGGAGTAATCTAAATTTGGTAACCACACATCATGTCATGGTGGTGTAGCGATTCCCAACATGGATAGCTCCCGAAGCGAGCGGAAACAATAAAGTGAGAGTAACAACGGAAGGATAATAACCGAGGGTGAGGAGTGAATAGAGTACCTTCGAATGACGTTCTGGGCGTTGTTCTGAGCCATTGTTCTGTTAGGAAAGTTGACAAGAACAAAAGTGAAGTGGTCGGTAACAGCAGGGGTGCAAGACGATTCTGTCGCTTGAGGCTGAAGATTGGGTAGAGATTGGATACGACTCGTGGAGCTGGTTGGCGAGTGTGATGAAGAGGGAGGCTACTATGAAGGGGGGTGGGTGTAAGATTGTAGCAGAAATGGAGGCGAGGGAGATATTGGAGGGTTAAAGAGGGTGGATGAGCAGCAGTAGCTGTAGTAGTAAAGAAGGGGAAGGCGAAGCAGAGAAGTAGGTAGGAGTAAATGTCTCGGAGCAATTAGAGCAGAGCGGAAGAAGGCCGGGAGCGACAAATGCAATAGCGAGGGTACGATGTCTGGTCGCGGAGACGGCACGGAGGAAGCTCAGGCGAGAACGGAGGAGGGGAAGGGAGAGAGGAGAGAGGAGAGAGGAGAGGAGAAGAGAAGAGAGAACAGAAGTGTGAGGCCTGCTGCCCAGTATGTGTTGCGGCGTGTGTGAGCGAGTGAGCGAGAGGGTGAGCAACGAAGTCTTTCTGCGCTCAAATAAAGCGTGCGTTAGTTAGGGCCATAAGACGACAGGGTGAGCCTTGCGCCTGTACTACCTGCTGCTTACACGTCCTTCTTCCCCCTCCCTACCTGCTCCCCGCGCAACCCAGAGAACTGACTGACCATGCAGACTGTCATGTCAGCGAGACGTTGGCCGCGGAACCAACCAGCACTCTGGAAAACGTCCTATGAAGGCCCTTGCAATGGACTCATACACTGAATGGAGTGAACGCTCTAACACAGAGGAGGTACATACATGTAGTGCTTCATACGAATAAACACTGCATTCCACCAAGGGAATATTACAACTGTTCCAAGTGTCATTGGCCCCCGTAATTACATGTACATGTAGTGGCCGCTAGCACTGCCACAGTGCCACACCGCTAGCACCATCCCAACGGTTGCTAAAGCTGCTTTCCAACACCATCCCGCCCATTTTGCTCACTGGACACCCCACTACTTGCCCGCCTGCCCGCACGCATCACTTATTTGAACATTTATTTTGGCCGCTGTGCACTGACCGCCCGCCACTATCACCACAACCTCAATCGGCACTACCCGGACCTTCGTGAGGCTCTGCTCCACCAACCACCATTTGCCGCTTACATCACCTGTCACATCTCCGCGCAGACGACCAAGCATCTCTCTCGCACATACATGCCTGTGGGTCTGAGTTGACATTGTTGCGGCTCCTCATCCCTCTCTCAATTGTTGTTGAACGGGTACCATTCCCTTTTCCTAACGCCAATCCTTCTCCCATCTACCACTCGCCTGGTAAAATCTACCAATTCCACTGTCGTCGATCGGATCTGACTACCACTTGTAAGTCCTTCCACAGCGTTAGTTGTACCTCCCCAAGCCAAATTCAGGAGCAGAAGAGGGCAGACTTACTGCATCTACCCGCCCCCCGCACCCATACACACCCTTCTTTTGACCCTTCACCCCACTTGCCCACTTGTCCACCCCCAGTTACGTCTCCTGTTGCCGAGCATTCTTTCCCGCCCCACCATGTCCGCTGAATGTCCCATGCGCAACATACCATCAACTACAGACATCTATCACCGACAGTCCCTCTTGTCTTCTTCCAATAGCAAGGCAACCCACATACGCAACAAGGACGGTACAGAACTGATTACCGTGCCTTCTAGGAAGGTGTCGAATCCCGATCCCAGATCACTCAGCAATATTAGCAACAGCAGCAGCAGCACTAGCACTAGCAGCGTTATACCCACATCAACTGCTGCTACTGCTACGACCAACGACCACCCCGCCCAAATAACCAATCAGCTGTCACCCACAGTGCCCTCCGCATCTATGGATTTCCCCCACAACACTGGCTCAAACAATATCGGCGGCAAGAAGAAAAAGAAGAAGAAGGGAAAGCAGCAGCAACAGCAGCAGCAGCAGCAGGAGCGGCAACAGGAACTAGATACACTATCTAATAACCACAGTCATACTCACTCCCACGATAGTAACAATCACAAGGACCATTTACATGATGGCTATTACAACGATGCCCTCTATAACCATGTTAATGAAAGAGTTGACCAGTATCAAAAGGATATTAAAACTAATAGATCCGATTATGACGACCATCCCTCGGAAACTATCCCGGAACTTGTTGATCCAGAGGAAGAGGGGGGGTACTACAGTCAAGGATATGACGATGAGGATGATGACTCTTATACCCCACCAATTCAAGCTCCTGCGCCCCTGACTGGCAAAAAAAAGAACAAAAAGAAGAAAAAGAAGGGGGTAAATACTACTCAGGAATTTTACCAGAGCTCTGAAGTATCGCCTGTGAGACAGCTTGGTGGGCCCTCAAAAAAAAAAGACCGGATCTGGAATACATCGACAAATGAGGAACTTGAAAGGATCAAGGATTTTTGGCTTTCTTTGGGTGAAGAGGAACGCCGGTCTTTAGTAAAAGTAGAGAAGGAAGCGGTCTTACGGAAAATAAAAGAACAACAGAAGCACTCCTGCTCATGTAATGTTTGTGGAAGAAAAAGGACAGCCATTGAAGAAGAACTGGAGGTTCTTTACGATGCATACTACGAGGAATTGGAACAGTATGCTCACCAACAACAAAACTCAAAGTACGCTGCTCAGATACCTCATAGTCACCCCCCCGGATCGTATTCTACCACTAGAATAACCCCCCCTCCACCTCCGCCAGGTCCTCCTCCGGGTAATCATCTTATACATCTTGGGCATCATCATCACAAACATCAAGGACATCGCGTTGAGGAGATTGACGATGATGAGTTTGAGGATGATGAGGACGAAGATGAAGAATATGATGAGGACGATGATGTTCTGGATGAGCCTTTACCGGAGAACGATCCTCAGCCTAGCTTCTCCAACTTTGGGAACAGTCTCATTGTTCAAGGTGGGGTCCTCTTCGTTTTATGATAGGCATTCAAAAATATGCGGAGAGAGTATACAGCTAACGTTCCTTACGGATATCAGGTGGCACTTTAACTGTAGCTGACGATTTGCTCAAAAACGATGGTAAAAAGTTTATTGAAGTGATGGAACAACTCGCCGAGCGCCGAATGCAACGGGAAGAAGCAAGTGCTGCTTCCAGTGGTCACACATCCCAGAGTATGTCGGTAGGGCAAACTCATATAAGTCATACCCATTCGCAAACAGATTATGATGATGAGGATTATGACGATGAAGATGACGAGGATGATGATGGAGACTATGAAGAGGGGGAGGATGAGCCCGTGGGTTACTATCATGTATTATATTACTGTCAATCAACACTGACACGATTTAGGATACCATGACTGAAGAACAGCGCATGGAAGAAGGCCGTAAGATGTTCCAAATATTTGCTGCCAGAATGTTTGAACAACGTGTCCTTACCGCCTATCGAGAAAAGGTTGCTCGGGAACGACAGGATAAGCTTCTTGAGGAATTAGATGAAGAGGACCAGCTCCGAGCGGCACGTGAGGAGAAGAAGGCCAAAGAGAAAGAGAAGAGGAGGGAAAAGAAGAGACTGCAAAAACTTGCCAAGGAAGATGAAAGAAAGAAGCGGGAAGCCGAAAAGGCGGAGGAGGAGGCTAAACAACGGGCGATCGAGGAGAAGAAAGCCGAAGAAGTAAGGAGACGAAAGGAGGAGCAGCGGATGAAGCGGGAGGCCGAAAAAAGGGCTCAAGAAGAAGAAAGACGCCGTAAGGAGGAGGAGAGAAAGAAGAGACTCGAAGAAGAACGAGAGAGGGATGCTGAGCGAGAAAGAAAAAGGAAGGAGAACTTAGAGAGGGAGCGAAAGAAAAAGGAAGAGCTTGCAAAAAAAGCTAAGGAGGAGAAAGAGGCTAGGGAGAAAGAGGCTAGGGAGAAAAGAGAGCGCGAGGATCGTGAGCGAAAAGAAAAGGAAGCGAAAGCCAAAAAAGAGGCACTGGAACGGGAGCGTATAAAGAAGGAGGAAGAAGCAAAAACCAAGGCCGAGAATGCGGCGGCGGCGGCGATGGCAGCTGCTGCTGCAAAAAGACCCCCTGTCTCAATACAGACGTCCATATCCGTACCACAACATCCCCATGGAGTTTATAGCTCGCCCCATCTCTCTGTTGCAACACCTGCAATGCCTAAACAGTCGGTGGGAAACTCACCTGCTCGCACTCGGAATGCCTCTCAGCAAGGGTCAATACAAGGATCTGTAGCTTCTTCCCCAAAGACCCCTCAAGCTGCCCCTAGAATAGGGTCTTCAGTATCCCCAAACACACCCATTCTGCAACAAAACATTCCTGGTCCAATAATCCCCCGAATAAAATATTTCAGTATCCGTCACATATGCCCACTTCACCGTTACCACATCACATTGCCCCTCCTCCAGGTGTACCACCGCCAGAGAATGCTTTCCATATAATGAACCAAATGGGAATGGGTGGCCCAAGTTCAATTCAACCGTTTCTTACCGGAATGCCTCAAAGACAGCCTTTCGGAAACGGGATGCCGATGTATGCACCAACACAGATGCCTCTAGGTTCCAGCCCGCAATATCGGGGGTTTGCAGCTCCAAACGGTATGTCAATGCAGGGTCCCGCTCCTCTAGGAATGCGTCCAATGCAGCCACAAGGTCGTGGGATCTTTATGGGCGAGCTTGCGCCCGTCATGCAGCATCAACTCCCTCCGGGTATGCCTCTCGGCATGCCGCCGGGTATGCCGCCAGGTATGCCACCAGGCATGGCACCGGGATCACCATTCATAGGGAATCGAGTGGAGCCGGTACCTATACCCGGTGTACATTCCCATACACGGGCATTATCAGGCTCGTTTGAACCTATTCAGCGGCCCACGCCAATTCAGCGCCCCTCGAGTGTAGCTCCACCTAGAAATCCAGAGGATGGGACAAATAGTATTGATGAGCTTTCTAAAGTCATGGGCAGCCGTGCACTGCTGGAGGACGACGAAGACGACTCAATACTGGAAGCACAATCGCCGAATCGAAGAGGGAGTAGTGTTATGGGATTTTCACCAAGACCAACTAGGGGATTACCGGCTGGATCCCCCTTATTTATGGATCCTACTATGTCTCGTAAGTTATTGGTTTCATTGGGCCATTACGTTTCCTACAAACACACTAACAATCCACATATTAATGATAGACATGGGATTTCCCCAGCCTTCATGGTCCAATCCTGCGCCATTGGGAACTCCATTGGGAAACATCTCAAACTCTCTCCCAACCTCCACTTGGTCAGGAGCAGGTACGTCCAGCGTACTCACTTCATTTATGCTTATATACTAATAAAGTAAGGCTGGTCTGAAACTGATGCTGCTCGAAGTACATTTAACCGCCGGCGGCCAAACAGGCATGAACAGATTCGCAGCCTCGCCACGGTCAAGTGCCGCGAGCTTGGAGGAGAGAACAGTAATTTTGTCGAAATATCAACTCTGCATCGGCTTATTGAGCAGACTGTGCCCGAGATGGTAGTCACCATTAAAGAGGTAATGGATGTACTTGAGGTCGAAGGAGAGGCTCTGAATGGAGGTGGAAATTTTATTACCACGCACGATACCAACGGAAGGACATTGGTCAAGTTCCAGGATGATGAGGAAAAGAGTGCGGATGGGAATTGTATATATCAAAACCCTGTGGCACCCATCGGACATCATAACCACCACCTTCATCCAGGGGAAATTGGGTCACCGACAGGCGGTGGCTTTATACATCCGTTTAAAACGGCTGTGGGACCTCCGCCTGGGATAGCCACTAACGGGTTTCCTTCTTTTTAAATCGTAGTGCAAGAAAAAGTTTCTTCTCGGATTCAGGGTTGTATTGGGCATAGTATTTTTATTATTCTGTTCATTTCTTTAAAGGGTGCTACATCTGTATTTCACTTTACGCATTTCTTTTTTGCAGAGCATGTGTGTTACATGCTGTATTGACGACTTGGGCGATTCGGTGAATTATGTTGGGAAATCATGGTTCAGAGGAGCACCTTATTTGCTCTAGAGCTTGTCAGGGCTACACACCTCATAGTGCTCACATCACCACCGCTATCATTAGCTTACTTTGTTTGCGGTTCTACATATTCCTTTATAAGGATGAAATACCCACTTTTTCTTCTCGCGCTTTTCTGTCTGTTGTGATTGTTGTCGTGAGGAGCTGCTAAAGAGATTCAGTAGAATCTTTAGAGATTTCGGGTGCACAGCAAATTCCTGTTCTTACTAGAATAGCTTTTTGTGAACTTAATCCATCAATAGTAGATAAATACTGCTAAGTTGTAATTTAATGCTAAACATGAAGTTTTTTTCTGCTAATGACTTTGACTCTTTATATTTTAAGAACAATGCACTGAGGCAGTTAGAGCTCTAGGGGATCGGACATCTACTAGCTAACTCTGACTATATTTAAATAGAGATTTTCGTTTAGTATGTATTAGAAAGTTATTTAAACTAATACAACCAATTCACGGTCTCATCCCTAGGCCTGCTTCCCCTTGAAATTTGAATCAATCTCTCACTTAGAATATTCATCACCGCTTTTGATCCCGCCACTAAAGGGTTGGCATTTTGGTGGCAGCTCAAGGGCAGGGAATGTTGAAGAAACAATTAATACATGTAGGTATAGTCGGCCATCGATACTGCATGCAGGAAACTCAACTTTAGTCTTGTCCGTTCTTTATATATCCCGGCCTCGGGGGTGTCGGCAAGGCTCTTTGACTAAAAAGATGTATGTTTACATATATCGATGCGTGGTTTCGTATAGGTGAGCTGGCATCTGGATGCTTGGAGGAAAACACACACACGGGAAGCCCCAAATTCGAGAGATCTGATTGCCTCGATATATTATAACTCGCCGTTGTGAGCCCTTTACCTTGTGGATCACCGGGGGAGAAAAGTCACCCTACGTGCGCTCGAACTGTTCCCACTTGAAATTCTCGATGCTATATAGTAAATATCAAGGTATGGAAAATAGAAAGCTATATTAAATATTATGGTGTAAATTAGAACCTATTGTACCCACTACATGAAACAGCGTAACGTGGCTTAAGATGTTCAATGATTCTCTGTCATGGATCATCACTCGGATATGTAGTCATGCGCGCACAACACGATGCAACCCAACTCAACAATACAGGTCCGGCTTCTTCCATATCTCTCCTGGCACCAGAACATCAAATATTCCACGCCAATGCCGTAAAGCACCCCGGGATACAACACCAACTATGCAAGTACGTTAAAGCTTAAGTGAACACCCACCCTACTGCGGAGTATGCAGTATGACCTCTCCTGTCATTTCTGTCAGCTGGTTCCCCGCAATTCCTGTTATTGGTTAGGTGACAGTTCTTTAGGCCGCGCGTACGGTTGTTATCCAGCAGGACTGTTGCCGATATACCCATTGCTGACCCCCAATATGCTACATCACCTTTCCGCCCTCCATGGGGCTACTGTTGGTCCAGCAGCGTGCCTAGTGGCACCTGGCTATACGGCACAGGCCGCATTAGCGAATAAGTTTGTGCATACTTCCTGAGTGACTCTCTTCCTCCATATCTTGATGTGGTATCACGGATGGAACTTTTGCTGTTTGAGCACATCGGGGCTATCTATATGTAAATCTACCTGCCAGTCCGTAGTTATGTGATACCAACACACACAGCCCGCCATCAAACTTATCACACTTCTTGGACCATATTTTTTGCTTTCTATGAGAACAAAAAAAAATTGCTGAGCAACAAAAGACTTACGTAATGAGTGTCATCCCTCAAGAGCGTCGCTACCATGTTGGGCATTCTCATCAATGCTTCCATCCTGGGTCGAACCAGAGATGTCATGCAATGTAGTAGAGGCTATTACCCCTCGACCACGCCACGATGTCTTCAATGGGGCTCAGGTCGTATATAAGCGCCTTGACAGCTGCACAGAGCCCCCCAGGATGGGTGAGGAGTTAGTACACACACAACCAAAGCTAAGGGTGCCCCGTATACCGAGGACAGCTACTCACGCTCGTATGCATGGCCCGGAACCTAAAAGCCACAAGAAGATCTCGGGATTGATTGTACGACAATGTGTTTCTGCCCTTACCCGTTCCAGGGAGCCGGAAAGTTTAAACCTTCCCGGGTGCGTGATGGACTACATGATGTAGCTGTGGTTACCCTTGGATGTATGTATGTATGTATGCGGCTATGTGCCTAGACAGTCGCTACGATAGATGCTTGTAGATTATAGAATTACGTTTAGCAGCCAGTCGGGATAATCCACTGACAGGAGGTTCTTCTCCATCGCAATTGCGGTCATGGATTATCACTCGAATAATACACATCCCGGTAATGCTAGATAAACTGTATCCAGACACGTAAAGTCATGTTGACAATTTCTCTTACTCAATCTATGGATAAAACTACATATAGATGGGACTCCATGTCAATATACTAACTAAGCTACATGGATTTTACAAGCTCGTTCTTTTCAACAGGCCGGCCTGAGTAACATCAACTTCATATACCCATCAACGCTGTGCCCTCGTTCTACCCTCATCTTGACACGGCCTTTCTGTAGCGGAAACCATGTCCTGGACCCAGGAGCTGGTTTTTGCACTGACGTACTAAGGCGGTACTCTTGGATTGCGGCTACTAATCTATCGATTTACCACCCTAGGACACTGGCATCCAAGAGATATACATGCACTATATATATGAGCATTCCGTGCTGTCCTATCAGAGGTCTCTACAGATTGAGGCCAGTACTACCGCCAATGAGCGCGGGCAATAACCCCACGAAGAGGCTGGGGCTAAATCTATGGGCTACATACGCCAGCCATGCAATCTTATCCGCCATCGGGGCGGGATCCCGGCGAAGAGAGCTCGGCCTCGGGAATTGCACATGGGCCGTCCGTGGACACAAACGGCCCGAAACCTCTCGCATACCGCATGCTATATATCCCCCACCCCTTTCCGGTGGATGGGTACGTAGAACGGAGAGCTACCGCTCTACCGGTGGATGGGTACGTAGAACGGAGAGCTACCGCTCTACCGGTTTATGGACAGACACGCGCGCGGTCGGTCCGCTGTCGGCGAAGAGGCGGCGAACCATCAGTGTTCACAAACAAACGCTCAGAACTACGTTATACTGCAGCGGGAGGCAAGTGGCCTAGATTAGTGGGTTGGCTAATGCATGGCTGGCCATATACATAAGAGTATCGGGGGCTTGCCGTTATTCTTGCAGCTGCTGCTATTCTTGGGCTACGTACGGTCGGCCGGCCGGCCGGCACGGATTGTGTGATGGCATTCAAAAATGACACTATTAGAGAGACCAGTCAAAGAAAGGTTGGGCGGCTACTGAAAGATGGATTATAAACGAACCCCGCATCTCACAGTCGGGCTTTGTAGGCCCGTAGAGTTAGCGTTAAGTCTACTTGCCCGGAATATCGGCCGAATATATGAGCCCGAGTATTGCTTATCGTCGAATAGATAGAATTAAAGCTTGCTGCTCGGTATTGATCTGAGGTTTGGCCTGTCTACAGTGGCTACTGTTGGCCGCGGCGGCGGGCGGTAAAGCCCATGATCAGATCTCCAATGTTTCATGCGTGAGTGGTGCAATCATGGGACATCACTCGGGAACGTATGCATATTCCGGTAAGTGCATGCCACTCCCGACACTCATGCGGTGGTCGAGTGTACAATGGTAAAAAGATATAATAGTTGATATAACTACATGTATTGATACCCGGTTTTACTTCAACTTCCGCGCCTGGAGCTAACCTACTACTCGACATATCCTGCGAGTATTATGGCGACCCCATACATTGGCAATGATACCTGGTTCTTTAGCAGGACTTTATTCAAATATCGACATGAATTAAAACCAGCTTGGTCCTGAGGTTCTTCACTGGGCCCACTTTCCACTACTCCATCCCACAGCAAACCATCCCACTAGCACCGGCACACCATCAGCAAACACACAAACACATGTAACCTCTAAAATTCCTTTTTTTAAAAAAAGATCTATCATCCCCTATCTACACCCCCCCACCCCCCCTTCCCCCCGCTTTCCGTTCTCCCCCTCTAAACCGCCCTAGTCCAGCCATGATTCCACCCCCTCATCGGCGGCGTATCCGTCGGAATCCTCATCTCGATCGGCGGCACGCCCACGCCCTTCTTCGACACGGCGATCCTAAACAGCCTCAGATCCGTCCTGCGCAGCTCCTCGCACGCCTCCTTGATCTTGTTGTACTGGCGCTCCAGCTCGCCCTCGCGCGCGCGCCGCATGTTGCGCTTGTAGATCTGCCACGCCCGGTGGATGGCCCAGTGCCGCAGCATGCGCATGGTCCCGAACCGCAGCGGCCGCGGCGTGAGCGGGTGGTAGAGCGAGTAGCGGATCATGCCTGTGTGTGTGTGTGTTAGTAGTGCGTGCCGGGGCGGGAGAGTGGGGTGCGGGGAGACACACGGACACGCAGATCTCCTTCATCCTTCCCGCCCTTCTTCCCCTTAGTGCGGCCGCCGCCACCTGCGGCCATGCCGCGGACGTGCTGCTGGGAGCCCACCGCCATTGCCGGTGGTGCGAGCGCTGGGCGGCGGAGCAGGTGCTGCGCGCTAAAGTGCGGGAGCTTGAATGCTGAGAGGCCGAGTCTTGAGGACGACATATTTGCGGGTGTGTATGTTTTTCGGTAGCAATTAAGTGGTGTCCTGTGCTGTGCGGCGGACGCGGGCGGGTAGGGTGTGGGGGGGGGGACCTTGGTGATTATCGGAAGTGAGGTTGGAGAATCTTTAATTTGTGCCAAGATCTATGTCGTGTGGGTTAGGGTTGTCTGGTGGGGGGTGCGGTGGGGGTGCGGTGGGGAGGGGAGTTTTCGCCGGGTTTTCGACACTTTAGGTTGTGGGTTGAGGGGAGGGGGGTTTTCGCCGGGTTTTCGACACTTTAGATTGTGAGTTGAGGGGAGAGGGATTGGGGGAAGTAGGAGAGGGGAGAGGGCGTGCGGTGTTTGTACTTAGGTGTATGTAGGTTTATGGTGGGTCGGCGTCGCAGAATATGACTCGGCCGGGCAGCGGTCATGCCCGGAGCCAAGATATCGCCGAGTCAGGGGATCGCCGAATGATTAAAGAAAAGATAGCCAATATTATAGCTATTAAAAAACCGATATATCTCGCTCGAATCGCTATCTTTATATACGGTGCTCAAACCGCAAGCCCAACGACTGGCATGCCCACTCTACAATGTCTACATGTAGTTACCATAAAACACCATCTACATCCCCACACAAAGCCCCTCCACCATCTTCCCCTCCAAATAATTCGCACTCTTCACCAACCCCACAAGATGACACGCTGCCGCCGCCACCACCAAGAAATGGAAAATCTGGTGACTGCTCCCCCATATGTCGAACCGCCCCGGCGCCCACTTCTCCGGCACCCTCGCCGCGTATAGGCCCGCGCCGGTGACATACAGCGCGCCCTCAGCCAGCATCCAGCTCAGCCCCATGCGCACCTCCAGGTCCGCCCACCCGTACAGGCGCAGGCCGTGCAGAACGGGGACCACACTCGAGCCGCCCATGGCCACGAACATGGCTGCGCGGAAGGGCCGCCAGGCGGAGGTGCGGAAGGAGGGGACTGTGGACACTGTTGCGCAGCCGAGGCCGAGGAGGGTAATCTAGCGGGCGGGCGGGTGTTAGTGTGCTGGCGGGCGGAGAGGGAATAGGGGAGGGGAAGGGGGTACCATGGACCAATACACCCGCATGAGCGTCGGATCACAATAGAAGCCGTAATACACACTCGGGATAAAGCTACCCATGATGAGGATGACGATACCGAGGTAGTCGAGCTTGTTGCCGAGCTTTGCGATGGCGTGGGAGTGGCAGGAGATGGTGTGGTAGGTGGCGGACATGCCGAGGCATGCTGCGGCGGAGAGGAGGAAGGTGCTGAAGGCGAGGAGGTTCGCGGTGGAGGGCGGGTTGTAGAGGGTGTAGAAGAGGAGCGCGACGTAGGGAATTGAGAGCGCGGGGAGGAGGTGCGAGTAGATGTTTACTGGGGAGGTTAGCTGGGTGCGAGGAGGAGAGGGGAGGAGGAGGAGGAGAGGGGAGGAGGAGGAGGAGGAGGAGTTTGGGGGGGGGTGAGGGAGGGTGAGGGAGGTACCGGTCTCATTGTGAAGGTAGCCGAGTGAGATGAAGCATTTCTTGAACGATAGAAACTCGGGTCTGCGGCGGGTGAGCGCGGGTATATCAACGATATCGGGGCGCTAGACAGACCTATACCCAGAGAGGATATAATGGTTATCCCTAAGTAACCGCAGTACAAAGTCAGCCCATAGCTCCCCAGGTCCACTTCGCCAGAACACGGCTACAAGAGCTACTCACTGCTGCCACAACGCTACACCGCTCCCAAAAAGCACAAAACTCAGTCAATTCGTTTCACAAACAACTCCAAATTCAGCTATAAATCAAACACATACGCAGCTCATCCCACATCACCGTGAATGCGCGCTCAGCCTTCTTCTCCGCGCTCCTAACCTTCTGCGCTACCGTCTGCGGGGCTCGTTTGCGCACTGCCATTGTGATTGTATATATTGTCGAATTGTCGTCTGTAGTCTATGTGTTGATTCCAGATAATGTAATACCAATGGGCCGGGGGGGGCGGACCAATATATATAGCGGGTGAATTATGTTGGGAGCGAACCGCCAATTGTTGAATTCCTCAGCAGATCAGTAACGCACTCCCCCATCCCCATCCATCCCTCCGCAGACGTACACAACACGCGCTATGGCCCCCACGTGGTGCCGAGATTATAAAGGATTTGCCCTTTGCCCTAACTAACGGGCGGATGGAGGAAGGGATGTCCGAGTGATAATTTGTGACTCCAATTCTACGTTGCGAAAAAAAACATGGCTGAGCGATCATTGGTACACCAGCATACTAGGCTGGAATGGTAGAGGTGTTACTATTCTGATACAACCTAACCAGAAACACAACCAGTAGCGAATCGACTAGTTCGAGACAATAATAGTATGTTAGTCCAGAAACGGATGGCTGCTACTATTGTAATAATTAGGAGTCTGGTGCCAGTTAAACTAAAGGCCTGAGGTCCGGTAAAGGAATCTACAGCTAAAAGATTGTTCATTTCTCGTAAATGCGTTATTACCCTGGTTTCTACCTAACAATAGTAGAAGGGTAACTTTTGTTGGGCCCCAACCTGAGAGCCCCCTCTACAAGGTCCTTCAATCGTCATCCCAGGCACTCCACCTCTTCCCCACGTCTACCGACGGCTCCACCGCCAACGGCTCTACTACCGGCCTCTGCGCAACTGGTGCCTGCACAACCGGCGCCTGCACGACGGGCTCCTGTACCGCCGGCTTTGCCTTTCCTTTCTGCCTCCTCACTGTCAGCACGTCCCCCTCCCCCATCTCCCACCCCACCGCAAACTCCCTCTTTGCATCCTCCCACTCCATCCCCATCACCGCCTCCACATACCCCACCTCGACCGTAAAATACGCCTTCCCCACACACTTCAGCGCCAGCAGTCTCACCCTCTTCTCCGCACCCTCCAGCAGCCTCCCCTTATACAGGTCCACCTTCCCCTTAATCACCCTCCACCCCCAATAATCACCATGCACCAGCGCATCCACCGCCTGCCTCACCCGGTAGTCCGTCACGCCAAAGCGCACCCCCGCCTCATACGCGCCCGCGTAGTCCTCGAGCCCGCACGCAAGGTGCAGCATATGATATCCGGCAAACTCCTGCAGCTCCGTGGGCGGCAGCGGGTGCAGCGGGTGCAGCGTGTACAGCAGGTGCAGCAGCGCCGGGTGGTACGACTCGGCGTGCGCCATGAGGATGCTGGCGCGGATGATGAACGTGTACGCCTGGACCGTGAATGCGTCGAGGCGGGAGGAGGCCACAAGGCCCTCGCGCAGCTTGCGCATGGAGAGGAGGAGCCCGGCGAGCGCGCTGTTGGAGGGGTCGGCGTAGCGGATGTTTTTGGATGTGGAGGCGGATGGGTCGGCGTTGGGGAGGGTTGGGAGGGTGAGGGCTGTGGAGAGGGCGTGGTCGAGCGTTTTGGGGCTGTCGGCGGAGCCGCAGAACTTTAGGTATTTTTCGACGATGGTGGTGTAGTATCTAGAGAGGTGAGTAGGGGAATCTCTTCTATGGTTGGTGTTGCGGACGGGGGGGGGGGGACAGACTTCTCTTGGTTCTTGTGGTCTAGGAGTCTGTGTTTCCGGTTCCTAGATTAGATACAGTTGCAGATACTGTTAAAAAGAGGCAAACGAACCTACTATCCCCTAATAACGACCTCCAGCGTTAGCCATACCGGCCGCCAGCACTATCCATAGGTATGTACCATGGGCAGTACCGTATACAACTAAAGCTACTACTGACCTTTACTCACAAAGCCATAATCATCCACCGCCGGCTTCAACCTACTGGATCGCCATGACGCTGTGCGCATGCCCATTCCGCCGCGTGTAGGCGTCCGGTCGCCGCGGTCTCTCTTATCGGAGGTTGACATTGTGCTGATGTTGAGGATCTAGCCAACAAGGTATAGGTAGAGAGTACTAGTAGCGGTGGGTGCGGTGGGGAACCCTTGTTCAATGGAGGTTGAGCCGCAGTGCACGGGCCCGGTCTGGCTGGAGCTTAGGGTAACCATGTGGAGCTATGTATCAATATCTAGATATCAGACGACCTCGAATGCCGGCAACGGCGGTCATTATAACCCCGGTAGCAGATATTTATATATTGGGGGCCATGCAATAACCAATCTGGAATAAAAAGTCCCGTTTTTGTTTTGGGGGGCGTTTACGGATCGAACGTCGATATCAGATTCGATCGGCGCATTGGGCAGAATGGAATATTAGTTAGGGAGATCATGGAGCTTATGATCACCGTGGGTTTACACAGCACGGAGGGTAAATTCGATCTGGGGCGAAACTCCTTTTTTTATTCCGCGCACGAATAGCTATCATTCCTGCGACAGATCGGGCATATATGCATAATGCTGATATATATAGTCTAAAGCTCATCGCGGATTTACAGATGTAGCTATATATCAAGACCAAGAGTTCATGCAGTCAATTATGCGTGCTAAAAAAGGATATGATGACATGAAGGGCCTCTATTGTAAAAGAAAACCTAATAGAAGAAAAAGAAGAGGACACGCACTTAAAATTCTACGAGTTTTTGCACTCGATCATTACTGACAACTCATTTGACACATCTCCAGGATATATATGACTCTCCGGCGATGCATGATGTATAATGAAATACTAAGATCACGAATTCATACACATATGCCAGCACGGGAGAGATCGAAACCAGGAATGTATATGTTCAATTATGCATACACTTCACGCATAAGAAAAGGCAGATGAGGAACCTCCAGTGCAAGAAAGAGTTAATAGAAGGGAGAAAAACTGAAAAGGGAAATCATATTTTCATTTCGTCGATGTATGGTGTAATAAACCACCTCTATGATTGATCATTTCTTCCCAGACTTTTTGATCCCACCACCGGAGCCCTATATTCCGTCAGTATGTCGTGCATGAGAGAGAGAGATCTGTGATCGAGCACGAGGAGGCACGAGGGGGTGCACAAACCAAAGGACCCTTCTGCTTTGCTTTCTCGGCCATAGCTTTGCGCTCGGCAGCTTCTAGAATGGAGGTTAGAATCTTGCGTAAAAGAATACCTATCCTACACGCACGCGGATCCGCATCATGGTTTTTCCATGCGCCCTGTAGTACCGGGAAATGTTCGGGCCTACAAAACCGTACCTTGCCTCTGTCTTTCCTTGAAGGCCTGTTGATGTTCATCGTTAGCTCCCGTGCCTGATTTCCGCACGTGGGATAAGTGGTAGGCAAGTGTGTACCTTATCTTCCTCGTCATCCTCCTTTTTTTCCTTCTTGGGGGCCTTCAAAGGCTTCGCTTTACCTCCTAGATTTGTCCATATGTTTTTAGCATGTGTAATCTCTCCTCAAATCGGGTACGGGAACAACAAACCTTGACGACCAGACATTTTGCGATAACGTAGGGAGTTGTGATGGGGGGTTTTTCGTTTCCTTCACGAAATTCGAGAAGTAGTCTACTGCGGTAGTGGGGCTGACGTGAAGTCGACCGAGCCATCCCCTCTCAAAAGCGGCGTAAGCCGGTACCGCAGCCCTCAGGCAGGGAGTGCATCTGGGACTGATCTAAACTAAACCCTAGCCCAGTTGATTTTAGCATGCCTGTGGATTGACCCTGACATTTCGCTACTCCACATTTGCGGTATCATATCTTTACAGCTCATAGATATCCTCAAGAGATCGTGAATATGATTCCTGGAGGCATGATGACGACGAGACAGAAAGTGACAGGCGCCGCAAACACATCGTTTAACTCAATGTTTCCCCCGCTTTTTTCCCGTCTACATGTACCTACACCTATGAGACGTTCCCCAGTATCTACATACGACTAGATGCTCCGATCGTGAGCCAATATCTTACTGCCGTTCTATGTGACTGTATGTACGTACGGCTATGCCGACATGTATTCCATCACAGGGTATCATATGATGGCAGTGAGCTAACCTAACCTACTCTCACGATGGTTGTCGCTTCTCTACTCCTCCTCAAAGCTTCTCCTCAAGCTTCCTACATACCTCTATTTTTTTTTTCTTTTGCTCCAGAGTAGGCGGCATGGGGGAAAATGAGCTGTAACTAACAGGAGTGTAACTTAAAACGCATGCGCATCCCAGACAGTGGCGATAGGTTATGCCACTTGCACAAGAAAAAGAAAGCAAAAGTCGTTGTCTGAGGACTCTCTACTCTAGTTGAAATATGGACACTTGTTACAGATGAAGACAGCCTGCATACATACCGCTAAATCTCGAGTTATTCGGGGGGTTGCCAAGCTCAGCTGCTAAACTACATTTAGTTTAGATCCTGCAGAAGAGGGCTGTTTTATTGAAGATCTCTGCCTCTAAAGGTGAAGATCCTCAGCTTTTTGCCTTGGCAACCCCCCGAATAACTCGAGATTTAGAGGTAGTCTTCCACATGCAGTCCGATTTTTTTGACCCGAAAAAACTCCGAAGAAGGCGGAAAACGACAAAACACCCTCCCAAGAACTGAAAAAATGGACTAATACCACATGCCAAGGCTGTCGTTTGCTTAAGGCGAAACATTCATCAGTTTTTCACTTGGGGAAATTCTTTTCGGCATTTCGTCCGTATGGATGGTGCTTCATGGCCTCTTTGCTGTACCTACATGCATTGGGCCCGAATCCCATTTCCTGGTTATTTCCATAATCCATTCGCACATAGCTATGACAGCATCCTTCTAGAATTCTGAGGATTAAAATCAGACGATGCTATTGTTCGAAGAATTCAAAAAGCAAGGCGAACGTCGGAAAACTACATGCAGTGGATGGGATTCAGAATCGGGGGTACATACAAGAACATACAATTTCTAATCTTTGTAAAACTTCGATCACCTCGATCAACAACATATGGGTGTAGTGCGTCTTTTATTTCTTTATTTCTTGTATTATGGTGATCCATCGCTGAGACCCCCCCTGGATACTTCTCCGCTTT